TCATATGTGACATGCCCTTCATGTGAAGCTTCAAATGGAGGAGACTTTTCCCCTAATTCCCTTCTTTCTAAAGGTATTCCTTGATGTTAAAGCTTTTTTTGGGGGGGTGGGGAGGAGGGATAAAGTTGTTTCCTGACAATGGCGAAGGGTTTCACACGGCATGGCGATAGTAACTGCTGATTTATAGAAGCCTTTCATGTAACAAAGATTACAAGGCCCACAAACGCAAAGTAAACATATACTCAAAACAATATGGCACTTCAGCTTTTACTTTTACACCGGACTATGAGCTCCTGGAGGAAACAACCCCCGTCCCATTTGTCTTTTTTATCCTCCAGCATCTAGTCCTGTGCGGCAGCACCTACACTGAGATAGAATCAACTTGCAATTCAATGATGTTTCTACAAAATAGAAAAACAAAGCCCTGACTTCTCAAATCTCCCTCTCCTGGGGCTTCACAAATTTATACATATTATTATTATTATTATTTTTGTTCATGCAAGTCTGCCACCTTATCAAGTGATAGATATGTTCTATATTTTTTAGTAGGAAAGCTAGAATCAGACACTGACCTGGTAGGATGTCATGCCTGTGTGTGGGGAAACACTCCCTTGCTGTTTGTAGACTTCATCAGGTATGCTCTGTCTATGGCTGTGTTGCTTGCCTGTGAAATGATGGCAAGAACTGCAATCTGGAAAACAGTTTGGACGGCAGTGGGCAAGGGTACTTTACAGTGGTTACACGGAAATACTGCAAGCATGCACAAGAATGAGATCACGATCTCAACTTTGTAAATGAGCAAGTCGAAGCGGGACATTTGCCTTGTTTTAGAACTCAGTAATTTTTTTGATCTACATCAGCACACCTTTCCCTTCCCTCCATCCAAGGGGTAACTATGGCTTTTGTGGACAATGTCTTAACCTGTAAACCTAGATACACTGGATCTAAAAATGTTAGCTGGGAGAAGTTCCCCAAACTGCCTAATCCATCAGTTTTCTTGGTGAGAAGGAAAAATAAAGTTAACTCACCATCCAGGTATATTGAAAGAGTTCAATCGCCAACGGGATTATGCCAGTGCAAAATACCAGCTTCTTATTTTGCCATCACCTATTCGGAAAGGCTGTCTTATTTTTGTTATTTGACAGTTCCATTAAAAAAAAAAAAAGGCAAGAGTGTCTGTGAATTTTAGCTGTTTATAAATAGTGCCTCACTTAACATTTTTTGTCTGTGAACACGTCATACCAGTGGCACCCCTCTAAGGAAAGTTACAATAGCACTTGCATAGTAATCCTTCCATCGACATCCATGCATTTAAAGGGCAGATCTTGCTACAGAAATCTGTGAACTTGTATAGAAACATGACACAGGGATGTATTCTGGAATGTCAAAAAGGGATAAGTAGATGTAAGCATACATGACTAAAAAACAATTAGCATGGCTAGAAAACAGGAACATGAATTATTAGGCTTGAGGCAGAAGAGAAACAACCAGTTTTCCATAGGTGCAGACTTACAGAGAAGCCTGCTGAATTGAACCATGTCAAAGGATAAAAGGCTAAAGATTAACAAAATTTCTCCTGACTTGGGCTGTCACCATCTGCAGCAGGGCCACACCCATATCATCCTTTCCAGAGAGCAAGGAACAGCTCTTCTAGAAAGGTCTGGAATCATGCTAATCCTTGTTACTATAAAGGATACATTTAATTTACCGTTAGGACTGAATTTACACAGAGGCATAAAGCGATGGTCAAGTCTCTATCCCCTCTACCCTTTTGTTAAATCCATGACATTTAAGAGAAAACAAAGACTTCCATTTCTTAAATATTGATATATTGCTATTGGAAGGAAAAGCCTGACCCAAACTTTCAAGCATGAGGTGGAGCTACGTGCTATGTGGAGGACCAAGAAAACAGGGCACCTGATGTGGGGAAAGGAGTGGACAACGTGGACAGAAAAATGGATGAGATCTTCATGAAATTGCCCATGTAACTTTGCTTTTTAATTCTTTCCTGGATTATTATCCCTCCTAATTATTTCTCAACTTCCAGTTTTAGTCCTCCTAACCTATCTCCTATTTGAAACTAGAACTATGTACAATATTTGACTGTTTAAAAAAATCATGTATTAATAATATGCCATTCTTGCTTTCTGGATACCAAATTTCTAAGATCAGTAGGGCAGTCATAGCCTGTCTCTGTCTCAGTGAAATTCTGTAGTCGCCCTAAGAATCTTTGTTCATTCTCTCCTTTAAGTCTTAAGCAGTCTTTTTGTTCTTAGATGCCCTCCTTGGCTGAACATTTTTGTGACTTAAGACTCAGATGTCATCTAAGGAAATGCCCTGACAAAGCCAACTTTGACTATATATGACAAGTATTTCTTGTTTCAGTTGTTTATCCAATTAAACTGTGAATCTTGAGGACTTTTCATTCAGATTATTGAAGAGAATTGAATCATCACAAAGTATCTGCCATTGAGCCAGTTTCCTTTAAAAATATTACTTCATATCATCTTAAAGATTTGTTTCCAGAAAGTTAGCTGGTATTTTATCTACAAAGATACATTTCCATAAGGAACAAAGATATTCTGATTACTCATGTATCTTTTATCAGAATCTTATATTCAAGATACTTTTTTTTTAGGGTACAAGAGTTTACTAGAGTTTGAAACTTGGAAAAATATCAGTTTTCTTTGGAGAAGTTGGGTTTGAAAGGTAGACTTATCAGTGTCAAGAAAAATCACTACCGAATTTCCTGGTTGGCTAAAGTAAACCAATAGAAACTTAAATGCACATTGATCTATGGAGACTACACTGAGAAAATGAAATAATAGATGGCATTCCTACAAAACTGTGTCCTGTTCTCAATCAGTTAATATTATAGCTACTTGGAACAGGAGATCCTAAATCTCAAAGGCACAACTGAAAGTTACTTAGACCCTAAACAGACTAAGCAATTGGGGGGAATGCTTGGCTTTACCAAATACAATATATCTGATGCTGACAAGTGAGTATCTATCCTACCCTTAAGATTCTTCCTGACTTAGAAGCGGAAGGTGTGCCTCGTGGGAGTAGGTTTCGATGTAAAGGCTTCCTTCCACAGCTTTTCTGGGGGTTGGGAGGTGTGTAGGAAGAGTCTTAAATTCTAAGGGAAGGACAGGATGAAGGAGAGCAGATGACAGGCACTACGATAATTTTGCATTTTTTGATCATTGCACCGTGAGCTGAGTATCTTCTCCTTTCATTAACTGAAAAGTTTATTAAGGCTCTTGATACATATTGCCTAATTACTTTCTAGAAGTACACAGGAAAGCCTGCCTTTCTACATTAAGTCATGCTATTTAAAAGACACTTGAAACAATTTATTAAAAATATCAATTTGCATTTCTTAAGTTACTAGGGGTTGAACCTTTAAAACTACCATTGATTTTGTGAACTATCTGGGGTTTTTTCTCCTTTCCTATTTTTTTTCAAATGTAAAATAAGAGTTGCAGCTAATTACTGTTTAAAACTTAAAATGTTAATCATTTACTTAGTGTCTATTATTTTGTCTATAAAATATTTTTTGACTCCCAACATCAAAATTTATCTTATTTTCACACACACACACATACACACACAAAATCCCAATTCTGTTTAAATAGTGGTTTTTCTCCACTTGTATTAAGTTATCGTCTTGTTAGCACTGTAGGAGTACAGCCACCTATCATTCTGGTTAACATTACGTACGTTCTCTCTCACCTAGTGGCTCTACTGTGCATCTTTATCCACATCCTTAGGGTTGCTTACTCAAGCCTACGTACTTAGTTCCTTAAATTATTTCTAAAGTTATTAACACATTAACATTTTGTTGACTGAACAATATACCCCACAGAACTACTAGAATGGAAAATACTTGGTAATCCCACATACGCCCAGATTTTATGCCTTTTCTTTGTGACTCATCTGATTTAAGTTTTAATTTCAAATAGATAAAGAACATTTATCCTCTTTTTACATGAAAAGCTAGACTGATGAGCTAGCTGGCTACAGATACAGCACATGTTAATTTCTACAGGCACCTTTCTGAATTCAAGTAAAAGTTTGGTAGACAAGGATTTCCTATTTAAGTATCACTAATATAAGTATTGAGTACAAATATTGCTCACCATTTTTGCATTCTTTAAATTATTTTACTTTGAAAATTTAAGAACTATCATACGTCATTATAACATAGGTTTTCATTTAAGGAATATTTTGAACTGTGAAAATACAAATCTAGTTATTTTTGAACACATATAGAGCCAAATATTTCAACAAAACTGCAGTTTAATTTCAGAAAATGTGTTAAAATATATATTTATACATCAATTTCTGACATACACTTAATGTGTTAGTATACACAAAATGATGCTTTCTCTTGAAACTGTATTTATGAAATGTACATTTTAATTTAAATACTCAGTATACACTGCACTTAATCTGCATGTTGCATTTATTAAATACATTAAAATCTGCAATGTAACAAAACGTTTTCTGCATACGAAATTCAAAACACCATTTTAAATGAACAAAAGATGGCTCACTTCATTTTTTTTTTTTTTACAACTAGTGTATTGTACACTAGCTCAGCTCCACCATACTACCTGTTCGTTCTTTTTTATTTGACATTGTTCACAGACTAGTACATATTACAATAAGAGTGCTGGATAAAAACATGAGGTACGAAAGTGGTTCAAAGATTATAGGTCATGCAGATCATGCTAGACAGCAAAGAAAATTGTGACCGAGAAAACACTAAATAATAATACATAAAGAATGTGCATTATAAAAAAAAAAAAACACAAAAAAACCAAAAAACTCCATTACACAGCTTTGCTTCTTTGGTTACAAAGTAGGTTGAACAATTTCACAGCTTTTTATTCCCACCCGAAAAAAAAAAGTCATACGAAATGTTGAAAAGCAGAGGAATCGTGGCAATTTCTCTATTAGAAAGTAGAAACAAATGAACAAAGTTTTCTTCATCAAAATAGCCCAATTATTTATTATATCACAATAACTGGTGACTACCTGTACAGTTGCACTATGTTCTTCATACTTACACTATACAAAATGTACATTCAAGCTGGGTCTTTACTACTGAAAATAAATACCAAAGGTAAATTGCCATTAGTGTTAGAAATATGCCAGGATTCTTTTGTTCAATTATTGCCTAAACATTTTATCTATTAAATGCAATCCTGTCTCTCAATTCCTTTACTGATACTTATAATTATTGAAAAAAATTTAAAAAGTTCTGTGACATTGTTCATGTACATTATGAAAATAGCAGCCCTGTAATAAATAAAACACAAATAAATGAAAACTTATATAGGCAAATGTTACTGATATTGAAAGAAAAGTGGCTCTTTAGATGAACTGTTATTTATAATGTGATAGGAAGGCTCAGGGTAAATCCATGGGTAATAGGAAACCTGGGAGAGCCACCAAAACTCTTCAAGACCCTACGCATGCGCACCAGGTCAAATGCAGACTGATCGCTTTAATAAACCCCATCTATTATTCTCCTTGTGTACTGATGACATAGAGCTGGACATCAACAGCGCTGCATGACATCTCAGAGAGAAGAAAAGCTCTTGTAGAATGATTGTCTAATACTGAAAAGGCCAAACACACAATCGAAGCATGGCTACTTGCTTTCGTATAAAGTGGAAAGAACACCGGTGGCACACAAGGATAGATTGCTTTCAGTCTGTTTCTTAATGAGGCTTAGGAGAGCTTTATGCTGAGGAGACATTCGGCTGCTGTGGAGGTTGCGTTGGCTGCGAAGGCTGTGCTATCACTGCTTGCTGTTGAGAAGTGCTACCAGGATTGGCCTGTTGGGCTGGGAGTTGGGATAACTGGTCGTTGTTTGAGAGAGATTTTAACAGTGCATTTTCTCGTTCAAGTAAAGAGTTCCTTTCAACTAATTCTTTTATTTGTTCCTTTAGAACTTCCACTTCTTCTCTTACTGCATACATCAAATGGCTTTTAACCAGATCCTATGAAAAACAAAATTATGAATGTCAAAAACGGTGAAAGAAAAAGCTAGAGAGAGTTGGTTCTAACTTACTTGGTTCCTTATAAAGACAAGATAACTTTTATTAGATTTTCTGGTATTGTGCTGAGTGCTTCTGCTATTGGGTTGTTGGAAAAGTCATGGAGTATTTTTTCTGTTTTTCTGTGCAAAAAAATGCATCATGACTTTTCCAGCAACCCAATATATCTTGATTAGGCCTATGGAAGACAGGATTAAAAAAATAAGAGGTCCCGACTATAGCAGTTACCTCAGAATTTTCAAAGTTCAAAATAATTTCCAAAGATACTAGCTCCCTGAATTATGAATTATGATCTTAGTATTAAAAAATGTTTTAAAATCACATGCTTTGATGTTAGATATCTTTAAGTAAACAACAACAACAACAAAAATGAAGCAATAGCAGAAATCAGAACCAGAAATAGGTCTATTTGCTAAATCTGAGTGAAACAGTGCCTATAAATGACCAAAGAATCAGGAAAACTTCCAGTTTAAGTTTTCACCTTATTACTCTTCTGTATCTGAAGTATTTTCAGTGCTAAAATATTTTGGGAACATAATGCATTTAATTATGTATTACTTTCCCCCACCATAGCCCTATCAATGGTAATGCATAAAATGTGAGGTGTTCAAATGGGAAAAAAATATTTACTCTACTGGTATTTCTACACTAAAAATTATCAATGTTCTACCAAATCTCATTATCAAAGGAATACATAAATAAATTATTGGTCATCTCTGATTTGCAAAATTAGGTTTGCTTTCTAGAATAAAAGCCATGTGCTTCATATAACCAACAATCTACATAATAAGAGGACTATAAACTTCTACTTACCATTGCTTGTTCTATTTTGTTGTCAATGGCTACAACACCTCCCCCAGATGCACTGGAAAAAATTAGAATATTTTATTAAATTATTCTAAAAAAAATTAATCCTCCCTTGCAACTCTTAAAATAATGTAAAAGACCTTTGTGTTTTACCTAAAACCAAATAAAGTAAGTAATTTAAAATAGCTTAAGTCATTCTCACAATCTCAGTACTCAGAACTCTCATTTAAAACTGAAGGATCTCAGCAGTAGATGATCCTAAAGACCTTTGTAGTTCCAACATTTCTAATTTGCAATATGATATACAAGGGGTTTCAAAAATTTCACGGAAAATAGAATTAAAGTATGAATTTATTTGGGTGTAAAAATGTAAATCTATGCAGTTTTTCATTACATGCATTTTCTATGAATTTTTTGAAGACTCCCCTCTTCAAACATATACTACTTTAAAAGTAACTTAAATTCTATTTAGGAGTTCTCAATTCAGTGGTCTTAAAAGGATACACTGAATGACTGGTTCATTAACCAACTACATATTCTAATTCATTTGGAAACCCCAGTGATTACTATTACATTGAACTCAGATGATGATTTTTCTGTTATAAATTTTATTATTTTAGCATCTTGTTTTTAAATTTGTAAAACTAGCTTCTGAAAATGATTCAGAGGACTTCTGAAGCAGTGTTGCAAAATTCTGGCAGACCTACATGCTTTGATTGTGGGTTACTTGCTGGCGAAAATCACCTCATAAGGTATGTGGCTTATACCTGTTTTACTTGGAAATAATTTAAAGTAATCTAGCCAGTAAGTACATCCTAAGTGCAAATATCACCTTAGCACAGAAGGTTGAATTGTCTTCTTTGATTAATTATATTCTCTTACATACTAGTAAGAGTTGTAAAAGTAAACCTCCCCCTCTTGGTATTTTTGTAAATTCTGAAAAAATGATTAGGGTTTTCAAAAATTATTCTTAAAAAAAAAAAAAAATCCTGATACTTTACTGTATCCACAACAAAAGGGGTCATTAATGCCATTTTTACAAAAAAATTACTAAATACTCTTCATAAAATATACCCCCCACCCGAGAAGATTATGGTGCCAAAATATCTGAAGACTATTTTTATCTTAGATAACTATAGACCCTCATGCTTCATCAGCCTGAGGCTCAGAAATACCCTGTTTGATGTACTTGTGACCTTTATATTGTAATCAAAATAGACCTGATTATAAATCCTGGTTCTGATACTTACTACCTGTGTTACCATCAGCAAATCACCTTTCCAACTTCCCTGGACCTCAGTTTTCAGATCTATAAAATGGATTGGTGTCTATGCCTCAATTAACTTTCCACTTCTAAATCCTTGAAATTCTGAATTAATACATGGAAAGCATGCTTAGTTTTATTTGAACATTAGCTGTGTTTATTATAGCATATTTTACTTCTTACTGCTGCTATTTCTAAGATGAAAGGGCGTCTATACACCTAATAACTCGAAAAAGATATACAGATAGTCAATAAATTCCTATGTTGGGCCTTAACTGCGTGTAGAGATGCACAGAAGATAACTATGTAACAACCATATAGACTACAGCTTCTGTGTAAATCAGTGCCAGATACCATGAGGATATCTTCACCATGAATACTGATCACAATTTGGCAAAAAGGATAGTGAGGCATGTAGAGTTCTTTTGACAATACTAGATTATATTTTTTATATGTTTATTTCTGTGTCAAGGTAAGACTTGAATTACTTTCATTTCAACATTTACATGGTTTTGATTCCTTCAACACATGTGGTTTAAATAGAACTCTTAAATTCCTTTTTTAAAAGTTTTTGCCACAGGGTATGTAAGATCATTGGAGAGAGACAAAGGAAGTGAGATATGAACAACTCAGGGGGTATGGTCATGTCTCATTCCCTTCTCCTCCATTCTCTTAGGGTTTTGGGCATGCACGCAAACACCCTGAGTGATTTTCCAGCTGCCAAGTACCCTGTAAATGCTAGCTTTAACACTAATTTTAAATATTAACAAATGACGGGGAGGAAAAACCCTTGAACAAAGGGTTTACTGTAACTTTTTTTAAAAAAAGAATTATTTTTTGAATTCCACTTGTTATTATAATTAGTATTATTAATTTGATATGAGAGAGAGAGAGAGAGGGAGAGGGAGAGGGAGAAAGGGAAAGCAAGAGAACAAGCCATAAGGTCTGGGATTCGAACTGCAATGGACCATGTGGGAATCCAGCGCCCCTAACCACCATACCACTTGCTGATAATAATAAAATCATCAGCAAGTTTCCAAATCACTCCTATAGCTAAGGAATAATAATTAGCATGTTATTTTCTGAATGCTGACCTAATCAACTTTTGTCCTGACTCAGATCTCTTTTACCACAACAGAGGAAACAGGTTTAAACTGTATAAGTGGATCATGCTGAAAGTATGTATCCTTAAAAGGTATTATTTCAACTTTGTTTAGTATTGTACTCTAACAATTAAATCAATCTAGATATAGTTATTATCATTATAATGACCTTTGTCTATTTTGAAGGCTGTTATTGAAGAATTCTAAAGCCGACTGCAGTGGTCTCCAACTTTGGCATGCATGAGAGTCATCTGAAGATCTTGTTAAAATAGGTAACTGGGCTTTATTTAGTTTTTGATGCAGTAGGTGTGGACTGGGGTCCAGGAATTTATGTATCTAAAATATTCACATATCATCTGGATCCTACTGTCTGACCATGCTTTAAGAACCTCTGGTTTACAGAGATGAAAGTTATAGAAGAATACAAAAACAACAACAACAAAAAACCCTAATTCTATTTTTAAAACTTTTTAGCCTGGTATATAAGATTCTTCATGACCTTGACAGCTGCCTTAAATGGTCTCTTCTTCTCTTAAACTCCATGTGGCCTGTTGTGTTATGGTCTGATGTAACTGGGCGGTGTGGAACTCATGTTCTCAGGTTTCCTTGGCTTTGCAGAAAATGTTCCTCAACTGGAAATGCTCACGGTTCTATGCTTCTGGTGTTCTTGTCCTCTTCCCTTAAGCTGCTCCAGTGCCAGGGCGGCTATATCCCACATGTTAATTGCATGGTTCCAGTCCCAGATCTGACGGCTCCGAAACACCTGTGTGTGTATGCATGCTGCCCAATATCCCAAAAGAAGGGAGAAATGAGAAGGGACTGCGGTGTAACCATCCTCCACAGAGGGTAGGCCTTCTCACTCCCCTCCCCGCTCCAGGTGCATGTGCTCTCTAGCAGATTTAAAAAACAAAATCAAAAAACAAAACAAAAAGCAACCTCTGGTCCCATCTCTTCTGCGATGCCTTCTGAACTTCTAAGGTACAAATTAGTCCATCCTTCTCATGGTCCACACTAATATGTAAAAGGTTTTTTCTAGTGCAGCAAGGCAGAACAGCAAATTTTGGCTCCTCTATATATCCACTATGTGAATTCTGGGAAATTCTTTAACATTTCTAGGCCTTAGTTCTTCCATCTAAAAATAAGAGATATATGCCCTAATTTATAAATCTCCTGTGAGGATTAAATGAGTTTAGATAATACTTGACATAGTTCTGGGCACAATAAGCCCTCAATACATGATAGCCATTATTTCTGTGATTATACTGTCACTGTTGGTTTTACTAGATAGACTGGGCTCCCTGAGGGTGGTTCCATATCTTCACCTCTGATGAAGTGAGTGTTTGGCTCAAATCACACTGATAGTAATTACACACGACACAAGTAATGGTTCAATGGAAGCCAGTAAACACTTAAACTCAGAGCCAGCTCCATATCCTGCTGGTAAAGAGAGCAGGAGTCCCACATGGCCAACTGTGGTATAAATTCCGGTGGTTTGGAAAACATGCCAGGCGCGTATGCCCCAAATCCTGAAGGCATGAAGAAGGACTGTGGCATGACCACACCCCATTAGGGGATGCTTTCTCTCTCCCTCTAAGTCTCTCTCTCTCTAGTGAGCACATGTGCTCTCTGGCAATTAACACATGTTTTTTGAACTCAGAAAATCAGTAGTTTTCAAACTGTAGTTCCAGGACCAGAATCATTATTACTACCATCACCTAGAAACTTGTTAGAAATGTAAATACTTGGACCCACCCAGACCTACTAAATTAAGATACTTTCGAACTGGGGCTAGGTAATCTATTTTAATATACTTGATTCTCCTAGAAACTAAAGTTTCAGAGCCATTGCTAAACAGCCAGATTTACTTTAAAGACTATTAATATGGTAATCTTAAGGAAATAAGAGGGTATTCTGTTTCAATATCCAAGAATATTGACATATGATTTAAAAATACTGTTTCAAAAGAAGTAGCAAGGTGTTTCTATTGTGTTCAAAGTCAACACAGTGACTTGGCTTTTATAATGAAAAAGATCAACTGAAGCAGAATAATTTCCCTTCAACTTGGCTTCTTTTACCTCATGTTATATTGTATCTTGTTTTCTTGTTTCATTATTGCATTTTATCACATTCTATTTTAATGGTTAACCAGTTTCTGAGTTTATTCCTTAATGGGAGGCTTCCTAACTGTCTTTCCTTTACTCCTAGCATACAGCATACATACTTGGCATACAATTAGGTACTCCATAATGGTGGTAGCATGAATAAAGCTTATACTTTAGATGAAGGGGTGTGGATGTGTGTATACACACTTAAAAGGAAATAAGTCCACTTTAAACCATTACAATTCTATAAACATGGGGAATATGAAGAGCTTAGAATCTTCCTTTAAACTCTAAGTGTTAAATTAAGTCAAAGAATAATTTTTTTTATATAAAAAAGAAACTTTGTTTAGCATGGGCTATTTTTAAAGAATAAAATCAAACCCTGATTAGCATTTACATATGAATTAAAAGTTGTATATATGAATGGAAAGGACAGAAATATAAAACTGCAGAAAGACAAGAATGACCATATTACCATACGGATATAAATTATTTATTTACTAAAAGTGCTGCCCCAAAGAACCAAACGAGCTTGAATTGAATGTTAAAATAAAGTCAATTATAACCATACTCACAGGAAATGTCAAAC